TTTTTTTCAGTTAAGTTGTGAGATTTGCATCTAAAACTCCCAAGACTTTGTTGTAGAACAACTTTTGCCAGCTCAAGCGTGCAGTATTGCAGTCATGAGACCACGCATGTTTCATAGGAACGCCTCATGAGACCACTCCACCGGCTGTCGCCCAACCCCGCAGGACGTGGGTCTCACCGTGCGCAGCTCTGATAAGCCGGCGGGGTCCACAGTTCCGGGGCCTGAAGTCTGTGCGGAGGGGGGCATGAAAGGGCTCGTTGGAGCTTCAAGCCCACCATGACCACAGTGTTATGACCCGGCACGAGGAGTGGGAGGAGGTGCTACTGATGCTTTATGGTTGGTCCTTCAGCCGCCTCTTTCAATGTCAACGCGCTTAAACCCCTAAGGGCGGTGCCAAGTCGCAGATATTTCTGCCCCCTTTCGGGCCAGCGGTTCAGTGGGTTCTCTCGGTTCGTTGGAAGAATTTGCATCAACCCCTGCAGTTTCTTGATACGTGTTGGATTGGATGTGTTATTTAACCTGTTCGTTTGGACCGTCTCGGACAGCGAACAAATGGCTCCAACGTCTTTGGGATGCGCTGCTCCATTCATGAGCCGCGTGTTCCCAAGAAATTCTCTCACAGATCCCCGAGTGGAAGAAGAACTCCAAGGGCTGTCCTGGCTCCTCTGGCAGGTCTTAAAGAACATCTCTCTGGAGATTTCGGCAGAGCCTTGGCAGAGATGAGATCGGTCATTCATTCTCCAGCACTGCACTGTGATCTGAATTGTGCTGTGCCTGAACTCATTGTGAAATAATGAATATGAATGAATATGACAGTTAGAGGAATCGCAGTCGCTAGATCTGCCCACTTCCTGCATTGTGTGCAGGTTTTGCGCTCCAGCGTTTCCAAAACCATTTGATTTCCACCAGCACACGTGCCCGCCCAAATTATAATTTTGGCCCATCACAACGTGGAGGCTTTGCCTTGTTTGGTTCCTGTAACGTTTCGGGTGGAATTGAATTTAAATTCAATGATTTTCCAGCAATATGGCCTTATTAGGATGCTAGTGGGGCGATATCAGCGACAGGGGCAGTGCGTGGTTTGGAACCTCAAAGGCAGGCCAATGTCACCTTTCGCGGTGAAAAAAGACTAACACGGTGTAAAACACACCTGGACCGTCCTGTTGCCAAATGGAGATGTAGTGCAGGGTCATCCATGGGTGACACTGAACAGATGCTGCTGGTCACCACCCAAACAGTATCAAACAGTCATATCCAAAAGGAAATGGAACCAGTCCTGTCAACACCACTATCCTTTTTCCCTTCTCAAATGCTCCATGTATGGAACATATGCCTATATTCAATGATCTCGAAAGTCACCCCTGGCCTGTTTGGAGTGTTGAGCTTGGTCGTGGTGGGTGAGTGCCGCTGACCTCTGGGGCTTCTTCGCGTCGACCGAGCGAAGGACAGCAGTTGCGCGTTGATGGGTCCATCGGGCAGCGGCAAGAGCAGCTTGCTGAATGTGCTCACTGGCCGTGCTTTGCATTATGGACCGAGCTGCGGCCGTGGGTCCGTGGTTAGGGCGGAAACGCATGCGGTTCGGGGGAGATGCAAGACTGTGCTTTCACGTTCGGCATGCAGCTTTTCCATCGGCCATTGGGCCATGGACGACGTCGCGGACGGATCTTAGGATCCCGCTATGTGGGTGCCCCAGGTGTGGCAGCGAAGCTGGGATCATCCCTCCCACGTGAAAGCACACGCCCCCATCACCCCCTTTGATGTATAATTGATCATATACATGTAATATATATATATATATAATCAACTCCGGTCACGTTCTGTCTTTGTTTAATTTTGGGTGCTCGGGAATAAGAACAATTTAGCGTTTTTGGAAGAGCAAAATGGATGCCGAAGATGTATCAACATAGGATGCTGGATCGAAGACATTGGCATCAAAGATCATGAAAGGGTTCTGTTCTGTTTGATTCCGTCAATGTTCCGAAACTGCCAGGGGATGTCCCAGGCAGTTGATTTGCAACATTCTTTGCCACGCAGGAGATGTGTGTGGGCAGATGTTTGCGAACAATGAATCCATCCCGGAGGGCATTGAATCCAACCTGAAGACAAAGAATGCTTCTGGATTCGCTGCTAGGCTGCCACTTGATGGTCTACTCAGACTTTGACACTTTTGGTCCACACAAGCTACATGCCTACCAGCACCCTCCAATGAGTTAAGTGAAACCCTCCATTTGGGAAACCTGTTGGAGGGTTGTGGCATGGTTCGGGAACATTTTTTGCGATGGACCTCGACCATGGCAGGGAAAGCGCTGCGCCTGCCGGGGGCCACTAGAGTCACTGGAGGCCTCAAGAAGGCAAACATGTATGAATTATATGATAATAATGCCCGAAAGCACCAAGGTCTGAAGTTTCAAGGTCTCCAACAGGGGCAACACTACCTTTGAGCTCAGCATTCTCCCACTGGTTCTCCCAAACGAACGACATCTCAGGACACGAAAGGAGCCAATGAAAAGACCACCAGAAAGACCAGAAAGGCCAAAGGATCCACGATGCATTGGCAAATCGATGTTGCTCTGAAGAAAGGCAGGATCTTCTAAGAATCCGGAAGCTGCTCAAGGTCTGCTGGTTTAGTGGAGTCTCACCAAGGCTGAGGTCCCAGAGAGTTGGTAAGCTGGAAAGTTGCCCTCCCGGGCCCTCCCGCAATCAAACTCGAGGCCAACCAAAATCCCATGTTTCATGATCATCGGCAACCCAGTCTCTTCGATGAGGCAGTGCTCCTGAAAACACCGGGTGTGTAGGCGTTTGTGATACCCAGACACTCCATGTATGCTAATTATATGCCTACATTGGGGTGGTTTTGGGGGTCAATGGGGCGGCATATATGGCAGTCCCATGGAGTGTCGGGGATATGTCATTTCGGATGCGGTGCAGTCTGAGGTGCCCCAGGACGATGTGATGCATACAGAGCCTTTGCTGCAGAACAAAGGGCACAGTGAACATCCCCTATGTCAAGCACACCATCCAGGAGGCATCATTCATGGATTTCATATGATGTCCTCATAATATTCACACATGCAGTGCATGCACGGAAGCAAGATGAAGAACAAAAAGGACGGAAGGATCAAGACTACCAACCACTCAAACTTGATGTCGATATTACTGCTTTGACCAGGGCCATGGTCAAACATGGCTTTTACCAGTGGAGTTGGCCGGGTGCACCCGGCCCTTGTTGGCTCTGCAAGAACTTGGAGTTGACCACGCGAGCCGGGCCCAGGAACTGACTGTCTATGAGAACGTTTACTTCTCCGCTCGCTTGCGTCTAGCGCCTAACACGGGCCTTCTGGAGACAGCCACGCGAGTGGAGACTGTTTTGACACTCGCATTGCAGGAATCTGTGTTGATTTGTTGGTTGGAGGAAGGACACATCCACAAAGCTAGGGAATCTAGAGGAAGATTGGCACGGAAGAGCGTTCACTAAGACATTTGTATACATTTGTCGAGGAAAAAGCGCGCTTGTGCTTGCTCGGGAAATGCCAATCCAAGGAAAGATGTTGGCATTTGGCATGTGAAGGACAGTGTGGTAGGCCTGGAGCTGAAGTTTGCGACAGTCAGTGACACACGCAAGCCGTACGCCGTAGATCATGAACTATGCTGCCCCATGTTCAGCATGTTTGAGGGCGGTTGGTCGAATAAGGTGTTGGCGTGAATGCACCACACGCAAAAGTATATGTGGCTATATGATATATCATGACATATATATATATATATATGATATATGCATACTCTACAATGGACGTTATCTATGTACATATATGATCATACATGCGTATTTTACAATAATATGACATATTTGTGCGTGTTTGGACTGCGCCCTCCGGCAGCGTCGCCGGCTAAAGTCACCGCCACCTTTCATCCCAAGGCAATGCGGAAGTCCGCGGCATCAGTGGTGGGCAGCGGAAGCGCACGTCCATCGCCATGGAGTTAGCCGCTGGGCTCAGCAATCAGAAGTGGAGGAGCGTGACAAGAAACACCGGGCTGCTCCACTGGGGCTGGCGTAGAGAGCAAATCGTCCCGATCCTGGAGATGGGAGCGTGTGTTTTTGCATTGTTTTTTTCCCGCGGTTTGGTCGAAGGGTGTAATTGAACTGGTGGATGAACAGTTTGACGCATTGACCCGCTATTTTATATCGTTCAATTGGCGACATAGAAATGGAATCTATCAACGAAGTTCATCCATAAAGCAATATTACCGCAGATTAGTTCTGTTGATGATCTCATGCAGTATTATTGGCTTTATGACTTTATGGTGTTTCTTTCACACGAATCATTAACAGCTGAGTAACAGTTTCTTAGCACGATGCTAGCTAATGTTAATGGAAGACACCATAAAAAAGTCCATGATGTTCTTCGCTTTTTCTTCCTTTTTCTCCAATACAAGATACGACATTACATGGTCTTGATTCGTCATCGTTTCGTTCGGCTTTGAGCAAATTCACGATCAAATGGTCGAAACTGGTCTTCACACCCAACTGATGCCGCTGATCAGCCTCGGCCCGGCGAGGTGGGTGAACCATCAGTGCTCTTCTTGGATGAGCCGACCAGCGGGCTAGAAACTGGAAGCACTGTGGGCTGGACGGGTAGTTCGGAGCTTTGGGGATGCCCAAGAAAACTGCTGTCAGTCTCTCCAATTACTGGAAGGAATCACACATGAAAAGACTGGAAGGTATCAGATGTATGCTGAGAAATGGTGCCATGAAAGCAGGACTATGGTTTATTGCTTGGACAGGTGTCACACTGGATGTCCCTCTCAGATGAACCCTAGAACTGTTGATGGCTTGTTGACGTTTTCCTCGCAAACCTTGACGATCCCCAAGCACATCGGGCCACAAGTGGTGCATCCTACAGTACCTCAGATCAGCATTCCCCGTCTCTTAAGGGTAGGACTGAGTCACCCCCTGGCCAGGAAGCACACATCTGATGAGCACGGACGCATTTGCAGGCATACACGTGCAAATGACATGTGTGTATGCACATATATAGTGGATTGAGAGTAGATAGCACCAGACCCCCAATGTCGGTGGTTTATATGGATTGGACATCATGGGTTTGTGCCATCGAACCTTTGAAACCACCGTATTGGTTTGTATGCACATTGGCATGTGTGGCATGTGCGCGGGCAGCACTTTGCCCCTTGGATCCCTGGCCCCCCTGGCGGCAGTGAGGACGCTGCTGCAGCACACTCGATCGTGAAGCTGCTGTGTAAGTCACAGCTGCACTGCACCACAGCCCCTTGGCCTGAGAAAACCGAAGCTCGGAGGGATTCCCATGGAGAAAGGGAACTGGACACCAGTTCTTCAGGGGTTCAACTGGTCCATCAGGTTGTTTGAAGAGGGGTTCCTTGTTGTGAAGCCTTTTTGCTACTAGATTTGGACTTGTGCGTATGTCGGCCACTTCAGGGCGCTGGTGACTGGTGGTATCCCTTTTGTAGGGGATGCGGCTTGTAAGACAATTGGAACTCAGATCTGCATGGATTGTGAACGATTCTTGCAAGATCTTGCAAGGCTTGGAGGGTTTGTAACTGGCTGAGCCCATTTGTTTGCCATGAATCTGTTGGGCTTACAGCGTTCCTGGTGTCTTTGGTTTGTAGATGTGTAGAAGATGGATGTTAGATGTGCATTTTATCAAATTAGCATCAATTAGGTATTGCCAAAGAACAAACTTTGTGAACTTCTACTTACTTGATCCAAATGTCGAACTCTCGCTTGTATTTTGTTCCCCCACCGAGTAAACAGTCCCGAAGAGTCCAAATTATGTTTTTCTTCGGGGACTGGGGACGACCTCAACGGGTCGCTTCAACGTGTTGGTGTCAGGTGGCAGTGATTCATCAGCCTCGTTGGCAAACGTTGGCACCTCGGCCAGCGGCATGGGTGAAGACCTGCTTAGATCATCGCCTCAAACGGCGATGATTTTGTGGACGTACTTTCTGGGATTTTGTTCCCACTTAGAACGCACATTTTTCTATGTGTAGAGCCTATGATTTGGGGTTGGAGGAATGAACGAGACCACCTTTGCCACCTTTCAGCCCAGACTTTGCACGAAGAAACCTAATTAGTGGCTTGTCTTTTTTTTGACACGTCCACTCCCACCAACAGCCACCAACAGCCGGTACTTCCATGGTGCATCCCAGGAGTGCTTCGATCAGGTGGTGCTTTTGGCCACCGGCGGCTTTCTGGTCTATTCGGGTCCCGTCCGCGAGAGTGTGAAGTACTTCTCCGAGGCCGGACGTAGGTGCTTCGTGCGGTACGACACCCAGGCACGTGGCCTGGCAGCTTTTGAGGCTAAAAAGATTCATCTATATAATATGTTTTTGTTGTTTTCCTATGCGGGGGTTCGGGTTCGCAGCTTGTGCAGTGTGCAAGTGGTTTTTTGACCACCCGTTGTTTTCAATGTTGGTGAACAGTTCCCCTACTTAATCCAGCTGGGAAGTTGTGGGCCACCACAGTGAGCATGGTCGAGAGTTCTTCGAACACGGACGGTCGTTGTTAGAACACGGAAAGAGACAGAAGGACATGTGAATATCCCCAGTGAAAGGGGAGAGCCAAAAATTGAGAAATGTCAAGAAGCTTCCTGTGTGAATGGAGTCCCGTTTCCCATCGTTGCATATAGGTTTGAGCTCCGAGAGCAGGGACGGCCAGATGTGTGTGGTCAAGCCAGCTGCCAATGAGCTGGCTTTTTGAGATGCACAGTGAGCAGAGACATGGCCACGTGACTTCCAGTCAAAGTTGTTGTAATACGCGTGTAGGCCCCTTTTGGTTTGACCACATGGGGTGCGTGTGTGTCATGGTGCCACCATATGACGTGACCATGAGTGCCCCATCAAGTCCCATGGTCGTTGTGAAGCAAAATGGTGACTGCCTCCACCTGCAATTTCGTTCGTTTCTGGGTTTTTGAGCGTTACGGCCAGGTGCTAGAAGTGGAGATCCCAGCCATGTCAAACCCTGCGGAGACTCGGAGATTTGGGGCCGAGAACTGCAAGTCTTGCAGGTGGAAAGTGGGAATAGGCAGATGTTATCAGATGTTGGTGATTGGTTCACACATTGTCCTACAGGTTGTTTTTACTTTTAACTTTGGTTGATCCTTTTGAGATGAGATAGGTCAGATAGGTGACCCGTGTTCAAGCATAGTCATAGATCCCGGCACCAATGGATGTTAGGCAATTATCCTATCCTATACTGTGTATGCTTTGATTTTTGGCCTGATGGTGGATGGCGATGAGGCACACAAAAACGATTCTTCGGTCTACGAATAGGTTCATAAAGGTCAAGTTTGCCTTTCATACCGGGCAGTCCTCCATCTTTCAAGGTCCAAAGTTTCTGTTATAGTGACAGTGGTGCATCTGGAGGATCGGAAAGCTTGGTGCACACTCTCCAGTCCCACCAGGATCTCTTCCTGGACTTCATCGACAGCTCCACGGCAGAGGGTCCTGCGACCACGGCTGAGGAGCTGGCGGCCCAATGGGTGGCGAACAAGGAGTGGAGCCGCGATCTCGTGGAACCGAACTGCAACCGAGGTCGCGATCGGGGGAGATGAAGAGTGGAAGAAGAAGGGTTGGCAGCAAGACACAGACAGGTTGGGTTCCCATGAAAAAGAACAGTTTGGTCAAGAGGTTCGAAGTTTTCACGTGATGAGATTAAGGGCACCCAGTTTGATCCCAAAAGAAAGATCCGCCTCCTTGCTGCGGTCATGGGTGGCCCAGTCCCCGAGGTCGATCGACGCTTCCTGCTGCTTGACCTTGTGAAGTCCTTGGGGTCCACCAAACTTCCATTTGAGTGATTGGATTCATAGAACAAAGATTAACAAAGTATTCCAAAGTATAACGTTGGATTGAGTATTACTATGAATTCAAAGTCAGTTCAATTCATGTGGACTTTGGATAAATAGAACTCTCACCAGATCGAAATTGTAAAATCCGTTCCTTTGGGAGGTTGACTTGTGCAGAGTCTACATCGGTGCATTTCAAGGTGATCATTGTAACTGTTCCATTTTTTGTCACTGTTTTCTCACTCGTCTTACCAGGTGTATACCCTCCTGCGGATTCAAGTCCAAGTCCGAAGTGTCAGAACCCAACCTTTTGTACATGAAGCCTGGCATTCTCGGAACATAGCAAATCAATGCAAGGGGTCTGAGGGCTTTAAACCACACAGGTTGTTCCCTCCCAGGCCGTTACTTTCCAGGATTGCCCCTGCTTTCCAAGCCTACACGTTCCTTCCAAGAGTGGAGGAACATGAATGAAGATGTGTGATACATATTCTATATATATATTATATATAAATGTAAAATAATGTAAATATCTTTATATATATTTAGATCTAAATTCATAGGGCTCCTCAAACACCAAACCGGATATTCCCCACCCCGGGAACGAACCCTTTGTTTTCTGATTCGTTTTTCGACGAATCAGTGGATGAACTGGGAGGTGCAATCCCTTTTTCAAGCCGCGAATCATCTCAGGAGCCCACGACCATTGGGAGTTCCATTTCGGATTCCTTTCACTCCGTGGGTGAGAGGGAGGCACCGCCTTTGGCATCTTACGAGACTTGCTCGAGTGCAGGTGATGCACACTCACTTTTTATTGGAGTTGGAATGGTGGAACGAAATCCTCCAGCAAAAGTGTCTTTTGGGATGTGATGTTTTTTTGTGCACTTTTTGGGTGGCAGGCATTATGTGGAATGTTCAGTTAGCATGTTGGATTTTGCAAACGATTCAATTTCCGTCTGTTTTGTTGACATATTGATTAGTGACATTAGTGGCAGGTGGCTGCTGCATGATCCTACCGCGAGGGTAGCAAAGTCGATCTGGAGCAGGTCATTGTCCAGCTGAGAGCCTACAGCAATCCCCCAAATAGATCCAAATACATCGATTGAATTCATCAGTCACCTGCCCACATCAGTGACTTGCACCTTGTTCACATCCAAGGAGAAGTTCCGGCCCGGCGTCTCAGAGACGTTCTGGACCTTGTACTTGCGCCTCAGCTGCTAAGTGATGAACGTAAAAGGCCTACCCGCCCCAGCCTCAAGCAGCGGTGCTTGGACTCACAACGGTGGATTCCGCCATATTCAACCCCTTCTTATGTTCCCCTTCATGAGTCAAACAAGGGTGCCCAGATTGATTGGAACATGAAGGTCATCGAAAAACAGGGGACCTTTTTTGCAACTGGGTCGACTGGTCGATGAGGGACGGGGGTTCAGACCCGTCAAGCAAGACAGATCCACCCGAGGGCCATGTGAAAAAAAAACTGGACTTTGCCAGAAAAAGCCGTGCCTTTGGGTTGCTGAGAGTATTCCTTTTGCATTTTTGGCGATATATAGCTCCTAGTGCACCTGGCCTTGTTCCGCATGAATGGTGGGCGTTTGGCCCCCAGCGATGGATTCCCCCCACGGTCGGTAAGTCTACATGAGCGGCCCATGGGTGGGGGACATGCTAAAAATTAATAAGTAGAAGATGGCAGAACATAGGCCGTCATCCCAGGTGCCGACTCCTCCAAGACTCTTGGCTCAAGTCCCCAGTCTATAGTAGTTTGTACATGTTTGTACGAGTTTTTGCCTGTGTTTACTCAGAAGCCTCTTGCTGAGGGCAAAAGAGAAGCCAGGGTTCAGTCGATCGGTCAGAGGATGGATGACTCGCAGCACGGTACTGCGAGTGGCTCTTGTTCTGACGGCTGCCTACCAACATGCCAATCTGAGATCTGCTATGATATGCTTTGTGTTTACCTTCATGTGATGTGCTTGGTGAGTTGCTGGCTTTTCGTTCAGATGTGACACCTCACAGAATCAGAGGTCCATGAATTACATATCATAGATTTTTCTGCAATGGTTTAGGTTTACACCTAAAGTGTATGTAGTCACCTGACCCTGCGTTCCTTTTGACACTTTCTCAGCGACTTCATCGCTGGATGAGGCGATGTTGCTTGCAAGTGGTCCGCTTGTGGAAGCACCGTGTGACCAATCTGGGCTTGGTAGCACTCTTCTTGGCCGTTGTAAGGCTTTTGCTGGGCCACTCGGCGAATTCGGCATGGCTCGGGGCTGTTTGTTGGGTCCCAATCCGGTTTGAGGGTCACAAGGGCTGTTTGTTTATGTTTGGCTGGAAGTCTTCTTGATTCTTGCTGTTCTGTTGGTGTTTTATTAAGTTGTTGGGCTAGCAGGGTGCATTCGGACTCATTCCTGTGCACACTTCAATGCAAGACGCACCTTGAAGTGTTCCTTTGCAAAATGTGTCGACGTTTGATCTGAAGTGAACTTCCTGGATTTGCAGGTGATGAAGGCGACTTCGAACAAACTCTGGTGAAGCTGGGCATCGCACAGTCCATGCTCATGCTGCCCGTTTGCATCCACAGCACCTTGGTAAGACACAAAAACATATATGATCGTGGCGTTCATATATTCATGTCTTTGGCAGCACCTTTTGTATGTTTAATTTGTTTGCATCGGCCCGTGATTGAGGAGCTTCTTTATGTGTTTGTTGCTTTAGGTTCCGAGCTGTTTGAGGGAAGGCTTTGGTGTTCTCACAGAGGTGCTGATGTTGCTGACTTGAAGAGTTACTACTTATCATGGGTGATCTATATGTTTAGTATCATTTATCCCTGCCCTGTTTTACATCTGATAATATTTATTATTTTGCAGACTTTTTGACCTCGGTGATCAAAAAAGTCCTGCATGTATCGCGCACGTGATCTGAGGCATGTATGTCTTCAGTAGTGATCGTCTAGAAAGACAGCGTGAGGACGGCAATCTTACGGTGTTCACCTTGAGTGGGGGTTGGCGTGCAGAGCCGCGATGGCGCACCCGAGGCAAAACCCTTTGTTTTGGCAATCAAGGGGTCAGGGGCATTCCTCCCGAATCGGCATGCAACAGTACAATGAAATGATGATTGTGAAGCACTTGATGTTTAGAGATTGTGTTTCAGATGTCAATACGCTTTAGCTACTGATGTTTGCTTTTTTGATGTGTTTGGAGATCCAGGTCTAGGTGGAATCTGTTTTTAGGATCTAGAGGCCCGGAGGCGTGTTTTGATCTTTGCAGGACACCGCCGGCATACCGACCTTGTCGCAGTACATGGCCAAGGACTTCTGCACCTTGGTCTGAAACTTCTTGCAGCAATGTCTCTTTAGACTCGAAGGAGGCAAGAAGAATGGAAAAGGACTGCCCTGTGGCAGAAACAGATGGATAGTGGTTTCTTGCCACCCCAGCCTTTGGTTCAATGAAATTGCGGGGGACTTTTTGTGTTGGAGGGGAAGGCATTCTATGAGTTGCACACTGAGACTGAAACAACGGCTTTAGGGCCCAGACATTCCTGGCCATACGAAATGCCAGCACCTGTTGACAGAATCATCAGTTTATGGGAAGTATCCAACATGTTTAAATCTAGAGTAGTAGATCCGACTCAAGAATGCACCCAAATACACTCTGTGTTTTTTTAGGACTTCCGTTGGCGATGTGAGGCCACTTTATCGAAGTTCTTCTCTTTGCCGTGCTTTGGACAGGCTACGGGTGTGCGTGTTTGGTGTGCCAGCTCTGATGGATCTCGAGGAGAAAGCAATGTTCTTTTGTCTTTTCAAAGTGCTGTATACCAACAATTTTCTAAAGGACTTGAAATTTCCACTCACATTCCTCTCGTGTCACTTGCCGGGTGCGGCTCAGTTTTTTTGGGGGCCAAAGCACATGGCCTCCTTGGGCATCCTTTGCGTCCCCAGGGGTGGAGCTATCGACCCTCGCCCTATGGAGGTATTTATGGCCCGTTCTCCCACGTGGCGGCTACGCCCTGGGTGTTGCTGCGTTTGGCGGTGGCTCAATGCTACCTAGCCTTTGGTGCCTTGGTGACACGTGACTCAACATTTTTGTAAAGGCAGCTTCTTTTGGATGTCCCATGGATTGAAGTGGAAGTGCTCCAAAGTCTGTAGAACGTTAGAGGACCCACCAAAAAGCCATAACCCGTTTGCGAGTTGAGTTGCCATACTTCTTGAATTGTGGCCGTGTGTGAGCGTGCTTAGCACGATAACATACGATAACCTAAAATTGCCTGGATGATTCGATGCCTCGGGAAACGGCTCCCCCAGTTATATATAGGCCCGAAGTGATTGCCCAGGAGCTCTTTTACGGTGACATACTAGGAACAACGCGCAACCACTGCAAAACAATAGACGGCTCACTAAATTGCTAGAAGAGGCCATGTAAACAATTTTGGCCGTGGCGCATGCCTTTGCCTACCCAAACCTCCCAAAAATCGGGGTGTTTCCACGAGTTGACCATGTGCTTTTCTGGAGTCTGGCTTTTGAGCCCCTATATCCCGACACTCAGTGACTTAGCTTTAGTGAGGTATATCCTTCTTCTTGTCCGTGAATCTGCCGAGCCAGAGCACTGCCACCGTCACAATCATGCGGCTTGGCTTTACAGGGAATGGTCGTTGGATGCTGGGCCTTGGCTTCTGAGAGAAGTCCTCCTCGTTTATCATGGGTAACGCTTTGGAGCAAGCTGCTTCAGACACTTTGGCCAAGCTCAGGCTTCTGCTAGTGGTGGCACAGCTGTGTTCTGGCGTGGCAGCTGGGCGGATTGGCAAGGTTCCTTCATGTTCCTTGCGTTATTGGTCAGCTTTAGCCACTTCTTGTGACAGGGCCATGCTGTGAAGATATTCACCTTTGCATTACAAGACTGAGAGCCACAGGTCACATATTCCCTAATACCCGGAGCTTTGTGCAGTTAGTGCAGAGCTTTGGAGATAGATGAGAAACAATGGGACCCATTTGGTGACCATGCGGGATTTGAGCCCTGCCCAGTGAAACTAATGCGGGCGGGCTTCGGCCATTGGCGTTGAAGTTAGGGATTCAAAGGTACCCCAATCGGCCTCCAAAAGCAACTCTTTTGTAGGGAACGTTCTTGATTTGGAAAGGGCAAGTCCCGAGACTGGACGCCGATGTCATGTCATACAACCCAATGCAGAAGAAGAGTGGGATTGTGCTGCTCAGTCACAGGTTGTGTCAGCCAGTGCACCAGCCGGATCCTGAACTTGCCGTTTAGCAATCCTAAATCCTAAAGGAACGGGTGCTTTGATAGGAGTCCTTGTTGCTCATCTTGAAGATTGAAGGTGTTCACGACACAATCGCTGGAGTCATTTGAGGGCCTCGTGGTCACGTTAGCACTCCAAGGACTTAATCGCTTTTGGAGATGTTCATGCAGCCTTACGCGGGGTAGGCGCAGTCAGTTTCCGTTGTTTCCGCGCAGAAAACATCAGAAAACATTTAGATCTTTTGTTCACTCTTATATAGTGTTTGTATATCCATATGCCATATATATAGATCACATATACAATTGTTCTATTTTGTTACTGCAAAACGTCAAGACCCGACCATCGCGGTCGCGCTGCAGTCCTCGCAGGTTGGGTGATTTTCATGTTGTCACCATCGTTCTACACTGTGGAGCGAATCTTGCCCATCCTCCTCAATGACGGTTGCACGGAGATGCTCGACTAGATGAAAAACTGACAAAATCCAATACCCCTGTGCAGATGCCTCAGAGGAACGGCCCAATGCCACCGGGTTCAAGATCAATGAATCAATGGTTTAGTCTCTGGAATGAGGGGCATCAGTTGATGCAGCATGATGCAGCTTCCGTGCGTGGGGCGTGGTGCATGAAGTACATGGTTTACTTGTACCGCACCTGTGCCATGCCCGTATCAACCCTACCAAGACCTGTGCGACGTGCCGTTTGTGACGGCGTTCTTCAGAAGAAAGGTGTGAGCCACTTGGCCTCAATGAAGAAATCTCTTAGAGAAGTCTGGAGGATTCTGGAGGATGTTCTGAGCGGTTCCGACTTGGGAGTGTTTCCTTATCGAAACAGAAGTTGGGGAACAACCGTTTCATTGGGATAGACCCGAAAGCTACGTTTGGTAGAAGTTGTTGATTCCATTAGATGCCTAAGACCCTGGGAGACCCCGGGTGGTTCGCACCTCAAAACCCCTGAAAAGTATTGAAAACACCAAGCTGGCTACTGTTGGGCGTAGCGCCATTAACTGGATGTTTCATCCAGAGGAAGCTGAATTTTACATAGTCACCTAGAGGACCAATTGTATGCTAAATTTATGGTACGAGATATTTTCTTGACGATCTCCTCAAATCATGACGAACTGGAAAAAAACACTCGAATCCAAAAAAAGTTGACGAATTGAATCTTATCCAAGAGATCTTGGTGATATTTGGTGATCCTATAGGTGTATACCTCACCCCCTCGGACCGCTGCAACGCACAGCTGATGCGCAACACACTCGAACGACTTCATCGTTTTCCCAGCCCGGCCCTAAGAGTCTGAGTTGTGCAAGTACGCAGGGTCAAAAAAGTTCCCAAACTGGCGTCTGTAAAATCCCAATGCCCTTAGCAGCGTGTTTCGAGCTGCAGACAGCACATGAGTTCTACGGGATATTCGCGAAATGCGACCGATGAAGTCTTCATCGGTCCAAGTTGAATGTACTGATGCATTGATCAGATACTCTGCACCCTTGGCCATGTCGTACTGCAAATCGAGCCTCAATTAGATGAGTGAGACCACACTGCTTTAGCGTTTTCCAGCTGACCCAGGGGAGAAACAATAGATCCATCAGTCGAAAACTCTTGGACATGAAAACAGTCAAGACACAGTAAATGACCCATCATGTGTAGCTTAGGTCGAAGTTGGAACCCCAAGATCCCAGCTTTTGATGTCAGGGCTGCAAGAGTACAGTATCCATCCTTACATCAAGGAAAAGAATCAAGCCGGCTGTGATTCCACAAGTGAGTCCCCAAACCTTTGCAACCAAACATGTGACTCACAGGGTCAAAGTTTCGATCCAAGCCCAGCCATCTTGCACAATTTGTGCTGCCACGGTCCGGTGCAGCCAAATGCCGTTCCCATAAATGGCTCTCCAGAATCTGTTGATTGCTGCACAGCTCCATTTCAGAACTGCAATCATGTCTCGAAATTCTGGAGCCTGGAGTGGAAAGATATGGGAACATATATTTATCAGAGTTCAAGCAGGAGATCATGCAACATGACTTTCCGATTCGATATTGGTATTTGGGGGACATGTTCACAGGTCAAATGCGAATGCACATGAATACCATGCAAGTGGCCACCAAGGCCACATCGATCTGCTGGAGCTCCTGGTCCAGCCAGGATCCCAAGATTGCTGCGTCATGTCCTTTGCCAAGACCGCGAGGGTACGCACGTAGCCTTAGTACGTCCCAGCTGGTATTGATTGAGGTTTTTCCTTAAACATTTGGGTTACCAAGTACTAACCAAACTTCTAGTGTTTTTCCCCAAGAGGTTGGGTCATGCTGCCACCTAGAAGCGAGCCAACTGGAAGTTTGAACGTCTTGAAGCTAAAGTCATGAATCGAAGTACTCTTTCCGTGGGCAGCGCAAAAAGCCATGAAGCGGGAATAAGCATTTTTGAATCGTTCATCGTGATTGCTCCCACCAAACCAACCCATCATCATGAGAAGTACCACTGCGCTGGCATAGTAACTTTTGCCAACGCCGTCGATGGCAAATGTGTGAGCAGGATCGATTCTTATGTACTTGGCATCGCCCCTCAAAAATAACAAATCACGCAACGGAGACCGATGGTCTCGCTTGTATGGCTCCGGGTTCACGTCTTCAGGCCGGAGTCGCTTGAAGGACCCCTTCAGGTCCCACCAGTTCTTAGCTGATCAACATGGTCGGCTGTTTGAACCCTAGGTTGCATTCTAGTGTGCAAAGGTTTCCCAAAAGTTATGAAAGGCAAAGCCTGCATGACACATGCGAACCAAAGTTCCGCTAGCACGCATCGGTGGCACTTGTCCTTGCAGTTGAATCCGTTTGCCAGCCCGCAAGATGAACGAAGGAATGGCCAGTCCCCCTTGATGGCATTGACTATGAGCCGGAATTTGTGGACCCTCCCTTTCCACAGTACCTGTGATTTTGGCTGATCAATGTATGTAACTATAAGGGTTCACTGCAGAGGTGTTATTACCGAAACAATCCAAAACACACAGAAAGTAGCAACTCTTTCTCCGCCCAACTACAGTGATCCCATCCGTCGCCAATTTGTTCAGGTCGTCCACCCAAGCTCGCAGAAGATCCCTCAAGGTGCGAGGAGTGTAGGGTGATGGGATGATCGTGTACAGCAAACGCGAGCAAGGTGATGGCCTTGGTTTGAGAGAGAGGTGTTTCATATGGGGTATCTCGGGGTGGCTTTGGGTTCCCTATTCATTGAACAACTTGTAAAGAGTGCTATATGCAAAGCTGAATGTCCCAGCCATGTTGGAGTTGTTGGCAAACAGAGGTATGATAGTTTGGGCCGCCATGACCATCACCGGCAATTTCTGCCGACCCCTTCCTTCATCTCCGTGAAGGGCTATTGGAATAGCTTCATTCCATTGTGAACGAGGGACATTGAAGCCAGGGTCTATAGCATGGTACTTCTCCCAATAGTCAACCAAAACTTCTCGAAATTGTTCAGCATGATCCAGACTTTGGCCTCCTAGGAAAAAATGGCCTCCTCGATTGAAGATACATTCTACCCAGTCTGACAAATGGAGCACCGGATGTTGTACTGGGACTTCCTGGGGCCTCTTTCTCGAAAGTCGCATCGATGTTCTGACACTGGACAAATTAACCGGCATGGCCTTGGAGAACTTGCGAACAGTGGTGTGCAAGTTCCTGCATATGTGCGAATCCAGTTTCGATTTCCCACATCTCGCCATTTTCGATAGTAGAGGGTCTGACAAACCTAGGAGAGGGGAGGCTGAACAACAACTCGCAATTACAAAAGGCTCGGTTCGGTTCAGTACTTTGAGAATACAACAGATGCAACCAATGATCGTGTTTGTTGATTTTGCCAAGGGACCATGCTTCTTGAGTCTGTTGTTGGCAACTGTGGCTAATCGAACAACTCTGGATGCTGATTCTGCCTGGGACGAATGGACCAACCCACTGACAAAGTGCGAATGACTGAATGCAAAGCTACAAATTCTAAACATGTGACAGGCACCAAGCCACTAAGCTATAGCCAAGCCACACCCTCTTCGAAGCCAGCCAAAAGTTCATCAGCCAGGTCCGCGTCCTCATCAATGGTGAAGCCTTGCCCGGAATTGCGAGGAGGTCGGGGGATACCGGGCATGGTTTGACCGGGCCTTTACCATTCACTCTGGAAGTAAAGAGCCCATCTCTGGAGACACCTGCGCAGGGGTTGGTTTTCCACATGAGCACCGCAAGAAACCTCCCAAGATGAACCAAGTAAAGGCCTTGTCATATGGAACTTGGGCGTAAGCAAAAACCTGAAGAGCGTAAGGTTGCGTAAGGGAGTTGTGAGACATGCATGTTGCGTAAGCTTGCCATATGGTTGTGTTTTCATTCGTAGATTCTTAGCACACACTTGTCAAGAGAGGAACTGTATGGACCATGAGAGCTTTGAAACCCTTGGGAACTGACATTTGTGTGCACTGTGTTTCAGGTGTGTGCACTGTGCTTGTTTGTGTTTGCAACTCTGTATCAAACCTTTCTCAAGTCAGCCCCATCATAACATGTCATAACATGCCAGGCTCCGTTTGGTGAGGGTTTGGTGGCGTAAGGTTCGCGTAAGCTCCGCGTAAGCCAACTTTTCATTTGCCTGCAGCAGCCAGTAAGTAGATGCTAGTGATCCTTTGCTTCCTTTGCTTCCGAGTCTTAGTGATCATGTGTTTGTCGCCCGCTCACCTGCAAACAGGAGCCTTCGCGTAAGCATTTCCCTTGGGAGTATGGTTCTCATCTGTGAAAATGCAGATGCGTAAGATTTGCGTAAGGTCTTCTTCAACATCCGTGGCGCGTAAGCTCACATCGTGGTCGCGTAAGAAAGGCGTAAGCAGGAGCGTAAGAACGTTATGCGACATAGGGGTTTAATCATACGTATTTTGCAGAGCTCACATATGTATGTATAAGTTGGTTCATTGTGTTGCCCATAAGTGTTGAAGCCTGTGTTGACTCCGTCATGAAGATCATTTTTCACCATAGTTTGCGTTCATTGCTGGATGATGTCAGCTTGGAACCCCTGATTTCAACGTTGCTCCAGGCAGCCGCTACAGTGTCATGTATGATAAAGCCACAACATAGAAAAAACATTTCAGGAATAAAGCTGAATATAGGTATGGTTTATTGAACTGAAGCAACACCCGGCTGCCTATGCAACAAACCCAGTACACCCACCTAAATGCGGAACATCTTGTCAAAAGATGTCAACTGTCAATCCAACTTCCATTCAGTTGGACGCCCTGCCAAAAATACCGGCAGTGGCCTAAGCACCGCCGTTCTTGCGGGGCTTGGTGGCCTTACCCTTGCCACTTGGCGGCTTTACACCCTTTGACTTCTTGGAAGATGCCGGATTGCCTTTCAAGCTCCTGCAGCAAAAACATCAGCTGCACGCTTTTGAAGTTTGTGCTGCAGTCCTTGCACGAACCACCAAGTTGTTCAGCGCCACATCCGTGCGTGTACACGAAGAACAATGCTGCAAGATTTGCTTTCGGATATCCGGCCTCACAAGGCAGCCCATTCAATTGGTATCATGGTATAATTGTCGGTTTGTTTGTGAAACCCACTATAGATCGATTCCGATGACATTGATGACTATAGCGGGCCTCTCAGATCTGGTGACAGCAACTTCCGCTTGCAAAGTTTCGAGGGACTTGTAGAGCTTCTGCAAAGTATTCACATGGATCGAGATTTGCTTCGACAGCCTGGGCCCAACAAACGAAAGGCCGGTGAATGATATCATGTCATGGTTTTATTGGGGCATGTACACGTGCTCGTGCCATAGGCTGACAGTTGATACATGTTGAAACTCTCAGGTTCACACTCCTGGGCTTGGGTAGTGCCGACCTTGTTCAACTTGTCCTGTACAAGTGGTGTCAGCTAATGATGTGAAATAACAACATCAGGCGAACTCCAGTCAACATTACTAGGTGCAGGTGTGCACGATGCATGCCAGTGGATTGTGTGACGCACGTCAACTCAATCGGGATTGGAGTCCTGGACCCCGGTGCAGTTGTCCAACTTGCGTCCACATACTTCAAGAAAGTGAGGTAGGATAGCAATGGCCGATGCGTTCTCTTGAATCGTCGGAAAGACCAACCTTATGTACATCCAAGGCCACTCCAATACCAACTAATAAAACGCGGTGAGAACATCATGGAATGGAGCTTCTGATTCGTGCCATACATGTAATAAAGACTCCAAAGCGGGAAACTTAAAGCTACCAGAGCTGGCCGCCGCCTGATCCCCAGGCGACACACCTTCATCTTCTCCACGTTGAAGCAGCTTGCTGGCGCTGGAGTTCAGGTCGGGCATGGTCGAGTCCCGAAAGCTGGAGCCATCAGGGTCCTAATCGAGTTTGGGCTTCAATGTGGCGAGAAGACGGTGAACATTAAGTTGGTAAACATGGTGTCTATCACTGAGTCAGCAATGAAATTGAGGCGAGGCTCTTCGCAGGTCAAGTTCATGGTTTGGCTATGTTCCTCTCCTTCCTCTTCCTTCATACTGAAGTTGTCCCCCAGGATTAGCTTAGCCTCCTCTTCACCGTGAATCTGGGAAGTTCGGATTAAGGAATTCTTGGCGGCCCAGTCGAAGGCAGTGTCCACCATCTTCCTTGGGTATTTTTTTCTAACTGGAAAGTACCATGACGGGTAGCTATAGATATGTGCATTGCATGTAGTTTTCACAAGAAAAATCACTTAGGACAGATCTTCGTCCAGTGTTCGACTTGAGCGAGATAGTGACGGGTAACCCACTTACCTTCCTTAGTCCTCTGGTGAGTCTTAATTGACCACTTTTTGATCTGCAACTCCACTGGTGGGAACTGCAAGCCGTTCTTGATGAGAAGTTCACGGATCTTGTCGCCTTAGTAGGGGAAGACTTCTGTAGAAGTTGATAGTGTGTCACTGTTCGTGTCACTGATAACTCACATGCATATCCAAGATGACACCATTGTGTGTAAACATGTAGGGAAGCCTAGGGGCGTCCATCCCGATGGCCAAACATTTTGACGATTTCAGCGGATGCCTTCTTTGAAGCGCAATACCTCCGCATCCTTATGCATAAGTGTGCGCGTGTTTTATGTGTATGCAGATACGTGAATTTGAACTGCAATATGCATTCATGTGGGATCATGTTGGCTATTTGGGCTAATCCCAATCCAAGCTTCCTGAAGTATAACTTGTCCCTGACCTCCCGGCCGCCGCTGGCGGCAGGCATCGAAGGCGAAGAAGCTCCAGGAGCTGGAACTTCACCCGGCATGTCAAGGTCGGCGGACTTGTGACTGGTGTGGGAAGGCCCAGGAACCATTGGTGTATCAAGATCAATCGCAACATCAAGTTGAGCACCAGGTGGTGCTGGTGAGGGCATTGGTGATTCTTCAACTGTCTGGGCCACCGAAAGTGAAGATTTGGCAAGTGACCTCTCCAGGACTGGTTTCCCTTCATCCTGACTGCCCGGAGTACAAGTAGCATTAGTCTCGTTGAACCCAGAAACGAAGCGACCTTCGGCATGTGCGATGACTGGGGCTCCTGGCAAAACAAGGGCTCTTGGATTGGCACCGTGGGTGTTGTTTTAATCATGTTTAATCCAATCCGCACAACATGTAACACATATGCATGTATAGGCACCTTCAACCATAGACGGCTCCCGTCGAAGGTTTGACGGTGGCTCTGCGCTAAGGGCATCCCGCAACTTTGCAATCTTCTCCCGTTGTGCCTTGAAGGCAACTTTTGGGAAGAGAAAACCTGTACTAGTAAGGACGTAAGCGGGTGACATCAGACCAGCGTAAATAATTGCAGCCGCGGTGCTCGAATCAAATCATCTATATTTGATTCACCCTGTGGTCCCTCACTGTTGCGACCAAGTAGGCCCGTCCCATATTGCAAAGTCTCGCATGACTCTGAAACTTTGCTGACCGAAGCTGCCATAGCTAGGTGTCACGACCACAAACCGAAGATGTTGAACCTTTCCAAATAGCAACTCACGGTTTGAGAAGGTTCTTGGATATTACAACTCAACCAAATTGATCAGCAAGCTCCGATTTCCGGAAATCGGGCGCAATTTTCCACAATTCAGCGCTCCCTGTGGTTAAAAAATGATCAAAAACATGTCAATCGTACTGGATTTTCAAAATTGCGCCGAATTGCGGAAAATTGCGATCGAATTGCGGAAAATTGCGGTACGAATTGCGGTTCCCTTTTCTGACCCCAAGGCACGGTCGTGCTACCCGAGCTACCAATTTCTCGAATCGGTTCCGATTTTTCCGATTTCTCCGATTTCTTTGGCAGCAGTTTTAATTAGGTAGTGGTAAGAGCCACTCAGAAACCTGACTCCGCTGCTGCCTTAGATCGAGAGTGAAATTCTTTGCGTTAACTGGCAAAAAGCTGACACGTATTACAAAACAAGATGCCCATTCAGTTGCGAATCGCTTCATCGCATCATCCCATTCTGTGGGGATCCTACCGGTGCACGTGTTTGATCAAGTATGGGCCCCATCAAACCCCGAAGAACCCAAATGGACCAATATTTCGATCAATTCAACAATATGAACATATATACATGTCGTCCTTGTGTATTTGCAATTGATCAAGTAATCGAAGCATTCTTTTAGGTGGGCATCGGGCCAGCAATCTCCCAGTTCCATCTCTTCGAAAAGTTCCACAGGCCCCTTGGATGGGCAGGGTTCTAGTTTCAATCGAAGATCACCATGCGCAGGCCCGGAGAGCTGCGCCACGTACGTTTGGTGGATGGCATCTCCAAGGCCCCGAGGGTATGTCCTGGGCAAGAGGCGTCAAATCCTGCGAGTCAACCAAACCCACTAGGCTTAAACGTCATGACCCCGCACGTTTAATAAGCCAAAACTCTGTGTTGATTTCAATGCATGCTTGCAACCAACAAATCTGGTTTGGCCAGACTTGTCGACATATTTGCCTAAGATTTCAAGACTTGCACTCAAGTCATCACAGACCAAAAAGAACTATGCGAAGGAATGGTAAATCCTGCTAGGGTACGCGTTGTCTTGACCTTAGACCGCTTAGCCTTCTCTTTGGCAGTCAACTTCCCTTTGTCAAGGCGGTTGATAGTCCTAAGATTTCCCATCATTTTGGTCGGCTTTGGAGAACCTGAGCCATGAAGCTGCATCCAAAAGGAGATCTCGAACACCTCAGGTCGATTTTACGGAAGTGCATTGTCAAACAACTATAAATATGCGAGGCATTTGGATGAATGGGAGGTTGGGCCAACTTTCGATTCCAAGGTACCCAAGAAACTCGGTTAGCGAACCACTGCCAACGCTGGTGGCGGTCTAGTAGAGTTTGCCGTGGCTGTTCCACCAAATAAAAGGCATTGCGACTCAATATCAGCAAGATGCACAATACCAACCTTAAGTCATTTTGTGGAAGTATGATGATTTGGACCCTTGGATGTGTTATGATGCTTGAAGTAAAGGGTGCGTTCAAGAAACCTGCTTACCATGATATTGCCTCTGTCAACAAAACCATAGCTTTCACAGCCCATCGGATTGACGTAGCTACGTTGGGACGTTGACCTTGCTGGCAGGCCCCAGCTCCCACAGTCCGGCGCCATCAAAGTCAAGGCGTGCTCATCCTGGTTCAAGACGGTGTAGAGAGCTAGCCTGGGATGTTTGACAGGTCGTGGTGCAAACATGTGTGAAGGAAAGAAGGGACTGTGACCTATTCCGAGCTGAATCATGAAATCCACGATTTGTGGAAACATCTTTGGATATGCCATACTTAAACGCTATGCTGAGGGTCAAAAAGCCGCTTGTTCCCAAGAAGTTCATATGTTTTTTGCTGTAGTCCCAATCAATGGATGCCACGCGGTACCCAAGCTCATGCCTCAAAAGCGTGTTGTGTCATAGTAACATATACAATGTTTTTCTTCACATGTCCAGGGGAAACGAGAAAACTGGGCACCCTGCATCCTTTTTGATACTTCTCCTTTCCCTGAAAAGATTTCCGTAAAGTTGTAGTTCTTGGATGCATTATCGAAGGACAGCCGCTCATTCCACGATAGTAGTAGGACCTGATCATCGAAACATACTCCCTGCAAAAAACAACGGCACTCCAGTTTGATACATTGTGTGTGAGACGGTCTAAATAAGACCCACACTATTGCCAAAAAGACCTCAGGGAGAAAGGCCAAACATGTTAGCTCTGCAAATCAACATGTAATTCGAACGAGATCCCAACTTTGGGCGCTCGTACTTGAAGGAGGGATCGAACCAAACAGCGGCCAATCATGGCTGCACACCACAAGCCCCGGGACACTGCGGCCCAACTAAAAGCTTAATGATCTTAATGCAGATGGGTGGAGCAAAGCTGCATACAAAATGCACAGTTGATCACAGTTGTGCATAACACTTGGATCAATCTAGGAGGATTCATGAATCATGACCCACGCCCTCGCAGCGGCCAACTTGCAACTAGGCAGGAAGGAGGGTGGCACCTCTAATCCGAGCGCGAGCACGCCAGCCCATCCATTCACCTGACAGAGCAGCGAGTAGCATGTGGGAAGTTATCTCCAATCTCCTCCCCTCAAACCAGGGTGCGCGTTGGACATGGGCACAGGTATTCGCATGCTGCGCGCCACAAACAGCTTTTCTAGCCAGCAATTTTGGTGCCAAAGTCCAGATCACCAAGAGCCATCTTCTAAAGCCCCTGGTGAAACCTATATGTAAAATTAGGTATGATGCCATCGATCATACTACGACCCGCACGTGTTCTGGAGTTGTCAGCCTTTGACACTCACTGCACGTGATAAAACCCCGGTGAGCCATCTCTTCATAAAAGAAAACTTCTGGAAACGGTCGTTGGATACTGGATACGATATAGGCCGGTCAATATTTTCTGGAAACGACTATGTTAACCCTGCTGCGTTCCATGGCTCTGTTCCACCTTCAAAAACATGATCGAGACAAAATTGACTGATCTCGGAACTCACTTGGTTTCAGCGTAGGCCTAAGTCGCGAGATGCAATCGAACAACCAGGCACACCCACACACACCCACACACACATGTAGAACACGCATGAAAACACATGGCAAGGGGATTGATAATCAGCTAAAACACCTTCCTCCCAGCAGCTGCACACTCATCAGGAGTCAAGCCCTGATCTTTGGCTGCTTTTGCTGCCCTGCGGTAGGCTGCTGACTTCCGGGCATTGCGTCGCTTTGCTTCACTGGAGTTGCCACTGGTTGCAGCAGTCCTCTCGCCGGACTTTGGCGTTGGGTTTGGATCCTCTGCGCCATCAAGATTTGTGCTTGGGTTCTCTGTGGCAGCAGGATCTGCGCTCGTGGGCTGCGGAGGCGTGCATCCCTCTGGGGTTTGCTTGCGCACACGGGGGCGGCGGATCACTGCGGGCATGTCCTCAATTGTCCGCTGCTTTGGGTCCACAACATCAACCTCAGGTTCTGCCTGTGCTTTCCTCTTAGGCCTGCTGGCCTTTGCATCATTGCCGGTGCTGCTGCTTGGCGCACTCACCTCAACCTGTGTCTTGCGCCTTCTCTTAGGTTCTGGTGCCTCAACAGCGCTTGAAGCTCCCTCCCCAACCACCTGCTTGTTGCCTCCCTTTGCCTTTGCCTTCGCTTTCGCCTTTGTGCTAGCAGCTTTTGCCTTGGCGGTTGCCTTGGGTGTTGCTTTTGCTTTTGGGTGTGATTTTGCTTTGGCCTTAGCCTTAGCCTTCCCTGCTGGACGACCCCTCTTCTTTTCGGCTTTACCCGAAAGTTTGTTTTGCTCTTCCGGTGAGATACATGCCTCAGTCTCAACTATGGGAGGTGTGCTTTCTGCTGCGCTTGGCTCAGGATCTGTAGGTGCACTGGCTGGGATGGCGAGAGGCTGCTCTTGCTGCGCTGCTTCTGGTTGCTCTTGCTGTACCGCTGCTGTTTGCTCTTGCTGTGCTGCTGCTGTCTTTGCGCTTGAGGCGGGGACGACATCCTTGCAACCGCTCACCTGCGCAACATCTTGCGGATGATATCGCATGTACGTCCTTCACCATTTGAAGATGGGATAAGTGTCGTCACAAATGAAGCCAAGGCCACAGACACGCACACACACACACATCAAATTCACCAGATCATGAAAAGAACCACATACGTACTGTATACTGTATATTTGATTGGTTGCCTCCGGTGCTTCGATATCAGCTGCAAAGACATGCGACTTGCCCACACGAGGCTCATTCTTGGCCAAGTCCACATAGAATTCCATTTCTTCCGGTGCCATAGGAAGAGTATCCAGCTGGTCAATACCTTGAGTGAAGGCATGATATGGCCAGTACGTATACCAGCGTGAAGTGGAACATGCAAACATATGCAAACACTTATCATTCATATGAAAAGGGCTTTAAGCTCTAGACACATGTATCAATGCATATCTCTTTGCTTGCTGGTGCAGTCAAAAAGCAAGAGTTTCGAGACTGTGCACCCAGCAACCGCTGAAGCTCCTTTCGCTCATCCTCCAACTGCTTCAGGATCTTGAGCTTTTGGAGTTTCTGTTCAGCCTCTTCAGCCAGCGAGACCTTTTCTGGGACAGGGTCGTTGAAGAGAGAGGTGTGGATCTCAGTTGAACTCGGGGAGGCCGTTTTTTGCCCCCCACAATTCTCCTGCATAAACTCCTCTTGGTTGTCACCAACTTCAGAACAGTTCTGGCACTGAACAGCTGCTTTGACAATGCGGTGACAGCTACTCTTGAACCCCACAAGACGACCATCGCATGGTTGCTCAAAGAGTTTCTCCGGATTGATGTGGGACACCCTGCAATCCAAGCAGATGTAGCCACATTTCATTGGTACGTGCAGCTTCACTGGTGTCATACTCAAAGGGGAAGCCAACGTGCCTCCAGTATCACCATCCATGGTGCTTATAGTGACTATCATTCGAACACAGTCAAGCTACATGCGGTGCGTCCAAATCATTGTTGCCTGCCCCGAAAACAAAATTGAGCCCAGGCACCTCTCGGCGGAGGAGTGCGCAAACTGACATCGGATGCGCTGCGAGGCATCGGAGTAGGGACCGCTGGCAACGCATACTCCACACCTAAGCTTTGGATTGTTTTGCGAATTATGCATTTTTGGCGAACCCTGGCCCCTCAAAGGATTCTGAAGTGTGATGCACGTTGTAAGGCCAGAATAGGTTGAAGAGTCATTGTTGCAACCTGGTCACGTGCAGTCGCCGGTTTGCTCTCGGCATTCTTTGGGTTGGCAGACTCCAAAGGTCGAGGTTCTGGAACCTGGCCAGCCAAATAAATTACTGTACTCAAACATTCACCGATAAATAATTGTTTGATACAACCAGTGTACATCAGCAACAAAGAACAGCCTAGCCTGAAGCACTGGGTCATCGATGAACTCCCCCTCAGCCTCAGACTCCATTGCTTCTAGGCCTTCTTCACCATCTTCACCTTCCAATCCTGAAGAGGAGGCGGATTCTGGGAAACTGTGGTACCGGAATTGGTCAAAGCTGATGGGCATAGGGGTGAAACCAAGTAAACTGGTTGCTTCGAAATGTTCTTACATGCAAGATGTTGCAACCAAAGTTCCATCGCCATCTTTGACTGGCTGGGCACGGGGCTCCGGGGCATCAATCCCAATGGCTCTGAACAGCGCCCTCATCTCAGGGCTTCGAGGGGTATGTGGGCGCCGGGCTGCGCTACATAGCACTGTGATCAAATTCCGAAGTACCCATGCTTCAGTCTTGATGTCTTCGCCTGAGATACGCAGTGAAGACCGGTCTTTATCCAATATATGCGATGTCATTTCATGCAATGAATACAATTTCTAAGTTGATCAAATGAAGAGGGTGGGCCTATTATTAGCCAAGATACTTTTTGGCAAGGGCTTTCCACGTGGCCGACAGTAAAAGAGAAATCTGGCAACCAAGTCCTCCAGCAGGGCCACGCTCGGTCGCATACCTGGGCGGTGCAGATGTGGTGGGTCGACACTGTATGATACATCTAAAATGAAGCCGCTCAAGTACCTTTCAGTGAAGAGAACTATATCATGATTCAATCAACTTGTTTTACCAAGCGAGTTACCGAAGTGTGTCACCAATGGTGCCAGAAGCTCATGATTGTCAGCCACAGTGGTGCGGTCGATTGCGTTGCCTTTCACCGAAGTTACTTGCCCACAGGTGCAAGCCCGAGACACCACAGCTTCTAGCTTTAGCCATTCCTGCATCACTGGGCAGTCTATGGAGTCACCACCAGCAACGACCGCCATGACTAGAAGGCTAATCGCAAGTGAGCCTAACCAAGATTGAGCCAATCAAAATCCTGCAATATCCGCATAGTGGTTCTTTGCAGGATCTCTGCCACCCTTGACCCCTCCACCTCAAAGAAGCGTGCTGCCAGGCCTTCACTGCGCCAATCCACAGCGCACACACCACACACTGTGATGATCAGCTTTGCCCCACAGCTGTTAAACCCCAACAGCTGCTGATACGGGCAGAGATTTCTTGACGGAAACCAAAAAACTGACGATTCCGGAAAATCTTGTCGAATTGGAGATTCTTGGTCGTTCTTTGATTTTATAGTACGAAAGGCCAATGTCGTTAAATTTATAGTACGAATGGTCGTGCAGGCACATAGGTTATTGCATGTTATGGCACCCGACTTTGGTTGGCCTTCCTTTTTGCAATCCTCAAATAAGACCTTCCCTTGCTTCACACGGTCAAGATGGAACCAGTTCTCCCGGTGTATCCCGGTGCTTGGTGACTCACATCACCAAGGCTGCAATCCGCCAAGCTCTCCTGAGAGCTCCGCGAGCATCATCGGAAGCCTCACTGGCCAGCCCAACTTCTTGTTTGCCGCTCGAATCGGACGAATCGGTTGCCAGACTGCCTGGGGACCAGATGTTTCCCAGTGTTTGGTGATCACAGATGTTCACCCAAGTTTCTCCAAAAGTCAATCAACCAAACGCATTTCGCACGTCGAAAGAAATGGTGACTGGGATGATCGGACACACGGTCGTTGACCAAACGTGGCAGGGCAGAAGCCGACGACAAAATGACTTAAAGTATTGAAAGAGAATGAACCCAAGTCATACGTAGATGATTCAAGAATCCCAAGTCACCACGAATGACCTACAAGGAAGAATGGCGAGAAAGAAGCCAACCCCAGCCATTCTGATGCCTCGCCCTTTGGTGGTCGAGGGAGGTGCCCACCTCATTGGCGACCATACAGTTAGGCCGTACTTGTTATCTTGTTAGCAAGCAAAAGACATGACCCAGCTGAAGCTTCGGCCATCAAAACCTCGGGAAAAGCCTCGGGAAGGCACGGGACTGGCCACATTCAAACCAGTGGTGTGTAGCTCTGTCATGTTTCTAGCATCCGTTCACGCCTGGCTGAAATGATCTCAGGATATGAAGAATTCATACATTTTTTTGGCCACCGACATCCAGTTGGTCATGTTCGCGATTGCTTTACGTGCCATCACTCTCTTCCAGATCGAGTTGAGGGCTGGTCGGGTCAATGGTGCCTTGACCTCTTTGGGAGGGTGATTCCAAGCAGAGATTTAATATATTATGAATAAGTACATTTAATATATTATGAATAAGTACATTTATATATATATACAATGTTGTATTTTATGATATATGCATCTTGTATCCGATAAGCATTTAATACCCGAGAGATGATTGAAATCAAGAATCACTCCCTATCGGCCTTTCAAAATGTTGGATGGTGTTGGAAGGCTCAGGAGAGCGGATGAAAACGATTAGCTGTGGCGGACAAGTGGCTCAGGTGATGTACGCCAGCGAGTTCTTTGCCGACTGGCCATTGGTCTATTGGCATCTCGGAGGGTTCTTTGGTTCATTTTGTTATTGTATTTGTGCATTTTTTTGACACCCCTTTTGGGTCAACACCAGTGCCCATGTAAATGTCAATGTGTTCACATTGGAATGAACATGCACAACTATATTTGTTTGGTCATTGATTAGCCAAGGCAACATTCCTCAT